AGTTTTTGTGTTGGGAGCCGGTGACCGAACGAGCGATTTGTACGCCTTTTGAGTGGTGGTCTACCAAACTGGAGTGCCCAACGCGTCTTACCGATCTTGGTGCGTGGTTGCCGGTGACTCCCTAGGAGCTCTTTCGCCATTCGGTAGAAGTCACCTAGATCTAGGGGTCCGCGCAACCCTGTTGATGGGACGGATTTCCTTGTTAGCCGTTGGATCCCAACAGATCTCATCGATCTATGCAGCAGTATTCGTCTTCGCACGCTTGCCGCCGTCTCATCGACGTTTTTAAGCATCGGTTAACCTCAACCTGGTTCGGCCCGCCGGTCGAGCGGTTTGCCGGGGTGTGACCGCTGATGCCTGTTTCGGCTTCGTGGAGCCACAGGTGAGGGTCGGATATCTGATGTAGACCAAACAAATGGAAGATACCCCGAGGAGCACGACAGTCTACCAACTCATAGATACTACTCTTCTCAAATAAATCACTCACCCTATAATCACCATAAAGCGCTGGTATAGGCTTTTCATAACCAGCCACCAAGTGAGTTGTGTGTTTAGGACTTCGCTATGCAGTGGTGTACACCATATCTTTGGTATTAAAAATGTTGTGGCTAATGCTCCTCCTCACTATTCCCAACCAGCCACACATCAGGCCACTCTAATTTTCGTCTGCAGACCAACGTCCAGACGTAAACCTCGCAGGTTTCAGCTGGAATATATCACTCGGCGTTTTCACTGGCTACTTCGTTGGTTCGAGCATGTGAAACCACCCTGACACACCCGCGTCTCATCGTACCCATGTCTTAGCACCGCACAATTTTTGATATTCTACATAGTCAAGGCCATCTCGGTATCCGAGTTCACATCAAGCCAGTTGCAGAGAGATATGTGGACGAACTGTTGTGCTATCCCCTGGATTATATCGCGATATCTCGGCTTCACAAAGTACGCATATTCTCAGTCTAGAAATTCACCGAAATCAAGCGTCCGAAAAATGTCCTCTCTCTCTTTCGACTTATTCCACCATCATCTACCATCTGTTGTTTTACTATGATGTGACGTCATTAAATGTCGACTGAAAACGAGCACCAGACACTGAATCACCCGTCGAGCAAGCATCAAAATGAGAGGCCAAGTTTGTCTCTGCTGAACGAAGTGTTACGTCTGCATCGGGTCTCCTATGCGTGCTTCGGGAAAAAAGCCTTTATCTATCTCAAAAATCTCGAGGGTTCTAGCGAGACCAGCCTGTCGCCCTATCTGACATACGATTATTATCGTCAGCGCACAGCGTAAAACGGAAGGGCAAGCCCCACTGACCACTGCCTTTCTCGACGTGTTGCACGTAGAAGTAGAAAAAATGAACATACAAGATGCACAGGAAGTAGGCCTACAAGGATAGGAAAAAGAAACAGAGCTCTAGTAAACAACACACGGAATACACAGTCTAACTGTACAAACAAACATCGATCAGTCATTCTGATTCGATAGAAAATGACAACACGATCGCCGCTGCTCGCGGTTCGCAGCCATATCCTTCACTGTCTCCAGCCAGTTGGTTGAGGGATCTTTTGACATCCAACCACGTAGACGTGAAGCACCTACTTTCCCCAAGTTCGCTGTACATTTTCTCATTCCTTGCTGCCACGTCATCTGTTGACCTCAACGTGGTCTCTTCCACTCCCTAAAAGGAACGGAAAACACGGCACGATATAGTAGACGTGTGTTTGCCAAACGCAACACGTGCCCTAACCAACGAAGTCTACTAAGTTGGATAGGCTGTGACAGAACATTCTCTGAACTAGTACCCAATACTCGATTTCTGACCTCAGTATTGTCTACTCGGTCATTCCACGCAAACATCGATGATCGAAAACCTCAAGACGACGAATATCTTCAGCACGCAGACGCCAAGTCTCGCAACCACACAACAAAACTGAACGCAACGCGGCACACTACACACGACCTTTCAACTTCGGCGAACTTACAGATCAACGTCATAAGTGCTTCAGTCCAGTGTACGCATGTTCATCTTTACTACCGTACTCCCATCCGTCGTCACGCTGCTACCGAGATAACTAAAGTGGTCAACAGTTGTTAGTTCCTCCTTATCGAGCATCAAGTTCGGAACCGATGACGTCCAGTCTTGCAACAATACTTTATGCTTGGAAGGCTCAAAGCGCATACCGAATGGGGCTACAGCTCTCGCAAGACTATCTGGTGCACGCTGCTCATTCCTCGCATTCGAACAAGCAGACAAGATCGTCGGCGTAGTCTAGGTCAGACAGCTTCCCACTATTTCCTAGCTCGATGCCGTTATTCTGGAGATCTCGCAAGGCACTCTACATTATTTCGACCACGACGACATTGAACAAGAATGGAGAAATGGGACATTATTGTTGAACACCGCTCGTTGTTTTGGATGGACTAGGTAGTTCACCATAAACCCTTACGCGGCCAGAATTATGAAAGTACAATGATCTCAGTAGGTTCACGAACTTCTGGGCACACCATTCCGGTGAAGAGCATTGAATAGCGCCGTCCAGTCAACTGGATCGAAGGCGCCTTCCAAGTCGAGGAAAGCCATTGTTGTCGCGTGACGCGCCTCAAGTAGTCGGCGAAGAGTAAAAATCTGGTCAATGCATCCTGATGATTATGTCGCTTTCTTGAAAGCCGCAATAGTCCGTGGCATGTTGCGTTGACCTCAAGTCAAAGGAGGGGCGAGGGAGAGAAAGAAGAGTTAGTAATGCTCCTTACACGAAGGATGCTATAGGTTCCTGGGCGGCCTCCCACATCGCGGAAAGGGTTTTTCTTTGGGAATCCTAACTGGAGCCTTTAACTCAAAAGCAGGACCCACCATGCAACGGGGGGGGGCTAACCCATGAAGAAACTTTTTCCGGTCTGTCACGTAAGACCTGAGTGTTTCAAGCATTTTGTCTTGCCCTCGCTAGTGGTTTGTTGTCGATCCGCTTTTCGGATTCAGTCCTCAGCCCCATGCACCCAATGGAGCAAGCAGAACGTGGACGAAGCGGCATCCTTTGGGATGGCGGTTGTCCATCTTAGATGGACGATAGCTGTCCAATGAAGTGCGATGATTTCTCCCACCGTCGAGAGATACTCCCGGTACTTCATTCTTATGTCCATCCAGTGGAGGTGTATAGACCGGTAAACTGCTTCGCTCCCTGTGTATTTGCTTGAATGGCAGAAGTTTTCTTGAAAATAATCGGAAGACATTTGTGATAAAATCCCTAGTTTTCTCTTTACAGGCGCTATGTTCATGGTATTTTATTTTCCCCCAATGAGAAACATCGTACTTCTTCTACTAACACCCTAAACTCTATTTATCTTGGTCTGTTTCTCACGAAGAACGCAACAACAGCCTACCCTTTATTTATTTTGGTAACCAGACAGGTAGATGGAACATTGTAGCGTAGTGTTTACCGCAAAGCAACTAGGGGCGGATGCTATTCACAGTCCCCCAGCTTCACACCAGTGGCTTACAAACGTGGATTAGTCCGAACTCAAAAGAGTGCAGAGAATCTGCACCAACCATTAAGTGCGAAATGAAGAACACTTCATAAAAAGAACGTTGCTGTCCAACGTTTACCACAAAAAGTACATCGAACAACACTGAAAGCTCATGAGATCACGCGGAAAACCGATTACGGTGGATAAGTAACTTTTTAATGTATGACGCCTCAGGTCGTTCAGTTAATCAAATAGATAGAAATCTTAAGTCAGCCATTAAGCACTCAGACAGTCTTAATGTCTTGCATGGCGTCCATCAGTACAGTTGCGGCTATGGTATGGAATACATTAGCAGAACGGATCGCTGCTTGGCTCGGTGAGTAACAGAGCACATACCCAATGGCTGTCAAAATCAATGACGCGTTTTGCTTTACGGTTGAGAGACCTGGCCACTGCGTGTCGAGGATGTGTAACGCGCTCAGACATAGATCGCCAAGTCCATCTTTATCGGTGCAAGTGTTGATGTTTTTTTATGCACTTACTGAGCTCAGGCTCACTGAATGTTCTTTGTCTTTGCAGATCGTGCACGTGCAACTCCTACGGAAAAATACTATAAGCAGCATACTACATATGCTCAGCGGCTTTCCGTATCTCCAAAGCATCGCTCGCATCTGGTGGGAACATCTATTGGGCGATGACGAAGTTCACCACCTGGTACGTATAATCGGCTCTCGAGCGAAGTGGTCGTTCCACGCCGTCCCCGATGGCTAGCACATGTTTTACGAAGGCCCGCTCACCGTCTGACTTTTCATGCAATATTCGCACGCGCTGGGCAGTTCCGGAAGAAGCGGCACAGCGGTCAGGCCACGACTTGGCTAGGGGTATGAAGAAGCTAGCATCAACATTGGTATCGGTTGACGCTCCCCGCCTCCTTAGCTGGGGCCCGAGGGATGAGGATCGTCGTTCGTTAGAAACGTTGGAAGACATGGCTCAGAATATAAGTCAGTGGCGCGAATGCTTTACGGCTTGTCTGTTGCGCTCCAACACTCCATAAACAAAAACAACAAAAAACATCAAAACGTGAAGGGTGAGAAAACATTCGCGCATCTTTTATCTATTAACCGTTCTTTCCGATCCTGTGTTATCTTATCCTTTCAGTTATTTTTTGTGCTTCTGTTACCGTTGTATCATGTATACACTGACCAATTTTGCGTGCGCGGTAGACAAGAGTAAACGAAATGCTTGCATCGCGCGAATTATGTTTTCTCTTTTTTCCCATAACAAGCAACGACTGGGAAAAACGCGTTTACCCAATCGAATGATAACCATTTTCTATTCCCTTCAATGCTGTACGGATTTCCTGTCTAGAAATACTATAATGACCCAACTGAATGAGCCACTATTGAGCACAAATTACTTTGTAAAACACCGGGTTCGACTGAATTAAGAGTGCATTCGGATAGAGTTTTATAGTTATGAATGAAAAATGACCGTACATATATTTTCTAAACAATAATTTGACTGTACAATGTAGATCTTCAGCTCCCGTCCACCGTCCCGAGTTTACGTGGGTTTCCTGTGATATTCATCATGTTTTTCGTCAAAGTGACCACATCTTTCTAGAGCCATCAACTATCCGTAGAAAACGATCAACAAACCGAGAATAGGTAGTTACGAATGGCTCTCTTGCGCTGTCCTTCGCTAGTGTATACCGGGCTTGCTTTACCTTTAGAAAAAAAAACTTGTCAACACCGATGAAATTTACCCAGCACAGTATAGTCCGGGAGGTCAGTCAGGGGACCCCATTCAGTGTTACTTGGTGGTAGACGTCGTCTGGCAAAAAATTAGAAGAATGAATCACGTATTGCTTACCTGGCACGAAAAATACCGGCGGCGGAAAGCGGGCAGCTTGTATATAACTGGCGACCAAGAGGCACAATGAAGGCAAGTTTGGACATTTTTGTCCGATCAACTCATTCGCCTGAAAATAAAAAGGTGGGTCGTAAAAGAAATGTCATTTCAAGTAAATGGCTTCAAAGACTAAAGGTGAGCCACTTGTGCAGCTCTAGAAAAATTACTGTGAAGTTCGTTGCTTTCTTCAAAAAGTAACCACCACGATATTCGGTGAACAGATAATATCATCGTTGCATTACAGTTATGCAGACAGATTTAAACGTACTTTATGTCCACGAAGTACAACGCTCATGCATATGAACAGTAAAATATTTCACTGTGTACATTTCACATGGATGGTAGACAGTAATCCGTTGATGCCCGGCTCGTAGCCATGCTGGACCAACTGGCACTTTATATGCTACTCTACTATAATCCTCAAAGTCAGCCTGCCAACTATCCCTAATAGTCCAGTGGGCCTTCGAGGTCATGGAGTATATGCCCTTTGACTGCACAAACGCGCAACTGATTATATATATATATATATATATATATATATATATATATATATATATATATATAACAAAATTGAACACATTGCGGCACAGTATACACGACCTTTCAACTTCAATGAAATATCAGACCGCCGTCACAAGTGCTTCGGTCCAGTGTACGTCGCTCGAGCCTTGGATATCCGCGTACTCACCTCAACTTCTGTGCTCCCATCCGTTGTCACTCTGCTACCGAGGTAGGTGAAGTGATCGACAACTGCCAGCACCTCCTCATTGAGCATCAACCTCGGAATCGTTGACGTCCAGTCTTGTAACATCACCTTACACTTTGAAGGTGCAAAGCACATGCCGAATGGAGCTACAGATCTTGTGAATCTATCTAGTGCACGTTGAGCATGTTCCGCGGATTCGAACAAGCAGACAACGTCGTCTGCGTAATCTAGATCACATAGCTTTTCACTATTTCCTGGTTCGACGCCCATATCCTGAAGATTTTGCAGCGCACTCTCCACTATTTCGTCCATGACGAAGTTGAACAGGAATGGAGACATAGGACATCCCTGTTGAACACCACTGGTTGTTTTGAACCGATCAAATAGTTCACCGTAAACTCTAACGCGGCCAGAAGTATGAGAATACAATCTCAGTAGGTTCACGAACTTCTATGACATACCTTTTCGATGAAGAGCACTGAAAAGCATTGTTCGATCAACTGAATCGAAAGCGCCTTTCAAGTCTAAGAAAATCATTATTGTCGGTCGACGGTGCGTGTGACGCGTTTCAAGTAGTTGGCGAAGAGTAAAAATCTGGTCGATGCATCCTCGACCTAGCCTGCTGCTCGCGGACATTCCTCTCGCGAGCCGGTGTAAGACGATGAAGCAAAATCGAAGCTAATACTTTGGTGATTATCGGAATTAAGCTAATCCCACGATGATTACCACAGTCATTGCATATCCCCTTTTTGAAGATGGGAACAATCAATGACTCACTCCATATTAACGGAATACGCTCCTCCTTCCAAATGTCACGGAGCAACGTAGTAAATGATTTTATCAACGCCCCACCACCCAGTTTGAAAAGAACTGGGGGAAGTTCGTCGGGACCTGCCGCTTTCCCTCGCTTTAGTGATATAATGCATGACTACTTCTACTTCCGATGGAGGCTTAAGTGATACCACCCAAGGAGTCGCAGTTGTTGACACGGGAGTAACTGCACTAGCGTGCGGCCAGCTAAACTGTTCCTTGAAGTACTCGGCCCAACGGTCAAGCCTTTGTTGAGACACCCAGCCCCGAAGTGGCATCTCTGAGTCAGCAGACTGCCGATCCCTTGGGCATCTCCTATCTTGGTCTCCATTAGATACCCGACCCTCACCTATGGCTCCACGAAGCCGAAGCGGGCATCAGCGGCCACAGCCCAGCAAATCGCTCTACAGGCGGGCTAAAACACGTTGAGGATAACCAAGGTCCAAAAACCTCGATGAGACCGTGTTGGAATGCGAAGACAGTCATTCCCGAATAGGCGGACGAGATTCACTGTATAATCTAACGATTATGAAGGAAAAACGTCGAACTAACAAGGCTGCATGGATCCCTGGGTTGAATTTAATTTAATCAAATGGCGAACGAGCTTCTAGGGAGATACCGGCAACCATGCATCTGCACGTTCCTGCCTTGCAGGCCGCATTTAGTTGCGCAAAGGCTAGGGGTGCGCCCTCGGAAAAAAGCCTAAGTAACGGTGGGGACGTCTCTTGTACCAAACACCCATGAAATTTCACGACCATGTCCTCTACATATTGTTATCCCTTCTACGGCATCTCCAAAAGCGATGCGTTCTGCGCTTCTCCAGTGGCTGGGGTGTCAAGAACGCGAACTGAGCCCCTTTTATCTTCGAAAGACCCTCTACATAGGATACTGGAACGTGAGAACTCTTTCGGATATTGGAAGTAAGGCAGTGACTATGCACACGCTGCACGACCAGTAAGTGGATATTGGCTGCTTATCTGAGGTCAGAACAGACGATACCGGTTCTCGTAACATCAAAGTCCCCGGCGCAGATAGCCATCACTGGCCTCGTCATAATGGACCAGAAACTTCGATTCAACAAGGAGTAGCAGCAGCTTCAAGCAGCCGCGCTAATTCTGTTCTGTTCACTTGGGAACTGATATTATCAAGAATCGTAGTGGTGCGTTTTAAAGGTCAACCCGCCAACCCTACCGTAGCTGCCCCAACCCCTCCGAAATTCGTGTAGAGGGCGAGTTCTACGGCAGTCTTCAAACGGTGGTGAGTCGCATTCCCAAAAGGGACATTCTTATCATAGCGGGTGACTAGAACGCCCGGACAGACGCACAAGATGCCTTGACACATTACATTCTTGGATGGGCTAATCAATTTATCCGACCTTAACCGGTTGTGCATAACCAACACACGGTTCCGGTACCCTAGAAGACATTTTACATGGTATTCCAACGACGGTTGAACAGTTCACCGAAGAGACCACGTGCTAATCCAGTCACAGCAGATCTAGTTGATGGAAGACTCGAGATCGTATCGGAGCAGTGGGGCGGGCATCAGAGGAGAGTCAGATAACTTACTGGTATGTGCGAAACTTCGTTTTCGGCTGACGACCCGTATAAGGGCAATTCCTCCGAAGTGCCTTAAGGTGGAATAGCTTCAATCCCAATAGGAAACGGAAGTTCCAATGTAGAAGATTGAACTGCGGTTATCAACGAACACACCCACCCCACACCATACAACCTGGAACGAAACAGCGAGCAACACAGACACATTCTCAACAAACTAGACGAGAAACAAAGAGCCAGATTCGAACGGTTTGCTAAGGACGTAAACGCAAAACCAGGCAGTCAGAAACTCGCCAAACTACAGGACACGCTAAACGAGACAGAACCAAGAACCAATCTGCCGAATTATCCAGAGCGGTATGTGCATAACTTCTCCCGTTCACTTTTGGATAAACCAACATTGGAAGTGTTATCACTAAGACTGGATTTATGTTGTCCTACCTCTAAGAACGACCAGTTAGATGTGGAGGTGCAGTATGAAAACTTACAAGCTCAAACCTACTCCTTGAGAGCGACATCACAGCAAACGACTGGTGATTTTAAAACTACCCTAGTTGACTGCTCTCATCATTGTCGTCGAACCCAAAGGAACACTGGAAGTATTCACAAAAATCGACACAGAGAAGCACTGAAAAATTTCAGGAATAACAATGGCATCGTCATCTCGAAACCAGACAAAATGATACTGGGTTGTTCTTATGGACCATAAAGATTATATCGCTAAGATGGATGATATACTAAAGGATCCGAGAAAGTTCAATGAACCAGAAAGAGAAAATGGCAAAACTAGAACAGTAGAGGAGAGACTAACCAAAGCCCTGAAGTCACTAAAAGAGCTTAATGTTATCTCCCCTGCAACCCTAGAACAGCTAAGACCAACTGGCACCACCATTCCTCGACTTTACGGGTTACCAAGGGTTGTCCGATGGATGTAGATGTACTTGGACCGGTTTGCCGAAAGATTGCCCGCTACAGCCTAAAAGACACTTTCCAACTCATAGAACAGATCAGCCAGCGACATGTTGAAGAGCTAACGATGGTCTCATTGGATGTGACATCTTTGGTTACCAAAATGCCGCTTCTGGAAACGATGAATCATTTATGCGATTTCATCAAAGAAAACGAAGTCAATATTGGTATTCCAGTAACCAATCTGAAGGAACCACTATCACGATGCACTTTCAATGTCCAGTTTATCTTCAACGGAGAATTACACCGTCAGACCGACGGAGTACCTATGGGGTCACCTCTAGACCTCTTATTTGCTGATATATTCATGACTAAGCTAGAAAACGAGAAACAGCGATACGACAGAAAGTCTACCCATCTACTGTCGATACGTAGATGATATTTTGTCCTAACTGCCAATCATACACAGCTGGAGTCATTGGTAGAGGAGTTAAACCAGGCACATAATGCGGTTGACTTTACGTCGGAAGTAGAAGAAAGGAACACTTTCCACTTTCTAGATGTGCTTCTTTTAGGAGGTGGCGATGGCAAACTGCTCCGTCGCGTATATCGAAAACCAACGTGGACAGGCCAGTACATCAATTTCCCCAGCTTTGTACCTATCGGACGTAAACGTACTCTCATTCGCTCACTCGAAGCCCGTATGTGAATTATTCGCTCGGATGGGACGATGTGTAAAGAATTAGACATTTTGAAGCAAACCCTTTTGGATAACGGATACCCCTAGTGCTTCATTCAAAAGAATATAGCAGAAAGGGCAACGAGACAAACGTTAGTGAAAATTAGAAAGGAAAGATTTATACATTCAACCCCCTTTCAAAATAGTCTACAGATTCCCTACGAACGCTCCGAAACACGCTCGAAAACAACATCTAGCAACCGTAGAGGCTGTGACGATCAGATTACTCAATTCATCGCTTTGTTCTCAGAAACGTTCCGTTAAGACATTCAAACTATCTTGGTTGCGATCTGAGACCGACCCTGGAACTCAGTGTGACCCATTGGT